CCCTAAATCCCTAAATCCCTAAGTTGGATGGGTTGGGCTTGGGATGAAGGCCGAGTGCATGCTGCAGATGGGTGTCTGGGCAGCAAGCCAGCCGGGGAGTAGTTCAGCTCCTCCAGAGGAGCACGGGGTAGTCTTCAAAATCTGGGTTTCCCAAAATACAGGGTACCCTGGGTACCCTTTGTGGGTCCCTATAATCAGGACTATAGTATACTAAAGTTTTGGAAGGCCTATATGGTTGTGGGGAGTATGGAGTGGAAAAAATGCAGCTACAAAAAAGCGTCTGGCAGCAGGTGCCATTTGAAACACAGCGCTTGAGCATGTTGGAATCAAAGTCTGCCTGACTGTCTTAGTGCTTAAGGTTGCCAATATTTCACGTTCTGGCCGGACGGTGGCTGTCTGCTAACTGGCTGGGGCGCAACGCTGAAGGCAACTCATTCATGTGGGCCACAGGGATAGCTGGCTGGTAGTTAGATAGATGGATGCGATGACAGACATATAGATCTCCACCTTTATTCTGTTTTGAGACTTGCCGGTGCCAGGCTGTTCCTACCCGCTTTGCTCAGACCGTCACGGGGCCAAAGGAATGCCCCTTGACAGAACCTGTGGTCCGTGGCTCAGATGACCGCTATCTGGGATGATGTGTAGCGAATTTCCTCTAGGTCTGCCGGTCTGCACTCAAAATTCACCACATCTTGCTACCAGTAGCCAGTAGTGCCCAAAGAAAATTAGCTGAGATAGATTTCACTGGCAAAGCCACATCACCAACCAACCTGCGGGAAGCAACAGCAGCATATTCGCAACTGTTCTCAGACAAGCCTCCCACAGCCCAGCGTCAACCATCGTCTGACAGCCACCGCCCTCAGCCCTCAGCAGCCATGAGCGAGTCTGGAGTGGTGAAGTTCTTCAACGCTGTGGATAGCTATGGCTTCATCCGCCTCAACGGGTGTCCCAAGGGGTCCAAGGGCTCCGACGTCTATGTGCACCGCAGCGCCATCGCTGATGGCAAGCACCTCCTGCGCGGTGATAAGGTTTGCTTCGATGTCCGGCGCTCAGCATGCTGGGAAATGGGAAAGCGTAGCTTAGACAGTTTGTGGCATGTCTTAACGTTTCATGTCAGGTGATAGAGGAAGACGGGCGAAAGCAAGCCTTGCGAGTGACCGGGGGTACCGGAGGCTGTGGGCTGACATTTGCAAGTAATGTGGACCGGTCGCCGATCAAAGGCCTGTAGCTCGACCTGATTGGAATGCATTGGTTTCCATGGCAGAAGTAAGAAGACTTGTTTTCGACAGCTCTGGTTTTGAAAGCTCAGGCTTGGTTTCGTGAAGAAGTCGTTTCCCAAGGGTTATGGCTTTATAAAGCAGGATGATGGCGGGTCTGACTTGTTCTTCCATCAGAACGCCTTAGCGCAAGAAGGCCAGGTGGGTCTGCGTAGGAGTCTGCAGAGAAGCAAGCCTCCGCTTCTGCCCTTTTACAGCTACTTTCCCTCAAGGCGAGATGCCTGCAGTTGGCACCCGGGTGCGCTACGACAACTTGTGGGACGAGAAGAGGGGCTGCCGCAAGGCCTTCGAGGTGGTTCTGCTGGAGACCGCAGAGCCTGCACCGAAGGACGGGAGTGTGTTTGCTTGCTCTCCTGTACTCGCAGATGCTGTTTCCAGGGACCATAGTAGAAGCTGGTAGAGTAGGAGCAGAGATTCTGCACAGCTTGCAGGAAGCAGTGCAGGCGGCAGAGGAGGAGGATGATGATCATGATGATGAGGAGTATGGCTTGGTCAGTAGTGATGACGATGAATGGGAAGTTGTGGCGTAGTCTGGCCCTTCGGAAGGCATCCAGTTAATGCAGCCCTTGCACAGCCACTAGGCGGTGTAGGATGTTTTGCAGCTGCAGAAGCAGGAGACTGTTTGCAGGCTGCGTTTGTTTCAAGCAGTTGGTGCCAGCAGTGAAGCGGTGCTCAAGGGTGTGCCAGCCCTGTACAGTGTGCAGCAACAAGCCGCCGCAGCAACCAAAATGCATCAAAAATGAAGTAAAGGAGGCGCTTCTGTCCGCGTGCTTGAGGCCGTAGAGGAAGGTCCAAGTATCGCGGAGTGGGACCCAAGCGTGGATGTCTAGCACTCAGCTGCTGCAGGGCCAGACTTTTCGCGATTTGTTGGGGTGGTGAGACTTGAAAACTGTGCATCCCGCAGGCCATCCCACCAGCCCCAACGAAGCTGCCGGAGCAACCAGAGTTTCAGGCAGGCGTTGAGAATCTACTTTCACTTCTGTCACCCATGTGCCTGCCTGATTTGCGCAGATCGTCGTTGCTGGGCAGCTACCAGGGGTCAACGGAACGAGCTGTTCCGCATATCCAGCCTGCACGGCCGTAGGCGGCTGAGCCTCCTGCAGATCCGGTGAAGTCCAAACGAATGTACATGAAGGATGAAGTTTGCGAGTGCAGATGTCTAGGTCAAGATGAGCGGCGAGTGCTGCCCTAATGCTGCAACCAGGTTGCATGAGGGCCTGTTACTAGCAGCTTTGCTGTGCTGCCCAGCCATCATGCTAACAATAATAACAATAATAACAATAATAACATTAATACCAATAATAATAACAATAATAATGGCAATAATAATAACAATAATAACAACAATAATAATTATAACAATATTGCGAATGTTGGCGTTGCTCAGCTTCCATGTTGCCAAGCGAAGGAAGGGGTTCTGCTGGACTGCTGCGGGTCCTCAGCAGCGGTGGCATTCAAGAAGTAGGCGGCTGCATTCGTAATAGTAATAGTAATAATAATAGTAGTAATAATAATAGTAATAGTAATAACAATAGTAATAATAATAGTAATAATAATAGTAATAGTAATAGTAAAAATAATAGTAATAGTCCTAAAGCTTCCAGCCGTGCTTGCCCAATTTTTGCAGGCTTGCCGAGGTTATCCCGTACGGGAACCTCACCCCCGTCCTCCGGGAAAAGAGTTTGCTGCCCTTGGAGGAACCAGGCAGCGCAGCCTTTTTTCGGTTGGGGGGTAGTCGTTGTGTGCACATGGTAGGCAGTTCTGGACGGTTTCTCATATTTACTTGGTTGCACCCACCAAAATAATGCTCGCTGCCAAGAAGCACAACGGTTTGTGCGTTGAACGTTGTTGTAACATGCTGGTTCATGCGTTACTGCAGCTTGAAGGAAACAGTGCTTATATGCAGCGATGGACTGGGCGCAGGCAAGACCTGCTGCGGTCTCTGCAACTGAGACGGTTTTGCGCTGATGCTTGTTCTTGCAGACAGGACTGGCATGCTTCTTTTGGTCGCACTGGTTAAAAACCTGTTTTGGCAAGCCCCTGCCAATGGCTTGCATGTGGCTGCGACCCACAGAGTAACAGACCGTTTTCTTGTTTGGCTTCAGCGCGAACGCGCTTTTTGCGATGGCAATGACACATGTCAGAGCTGTCTACTACGTTAAGCTGCCTCACAATGTCATGTCATAAACAGATCTAGAACTGGATGGGAATCAAGCTGGAAGCAGCTATTGGGTGTCGTTTGATGCATTCGGCTTTTTGGCCATTGTTGGTATCGGCTGCTGTGAAACCTGTAAAGTTAGAGTTGCCACGTGCAGACACCAGGATCCTACAACAGGGAATTCCTTGAAGGCCATGATTTGCACTCATTAGATGTGGGCTTGCAGAGGAGATTTGAAAAGCGCAGGTGGCATTAAGCTGAGGTAGACAGTAGCTAACAACTCCTTCCAACGGGACTCAGTCAAAAATCGAAATGGCTAGAGTTCAAAGTGAGGGACCTCAGATCCTGATGTCGGCTTTCTGTATTCGTGTAATGGCAGAATATTAATCATTGAATTGTGCAGTATGCAGAGTCGAGCAGGCGGATTTGGGGCAGAATCGTGCGACATATCCAGAATCCTGATTACCACCCAGGGGCCTCAAAATTCGATCATTACTGGGGGACAGCGTATACAAGGTGGGGTTAGATTTCCTCCATCCCTAGTTGTTCATACAGTTTGCGCCAGTAGCAGAGATAGGGTCGCGTGCCATAAATGGTTGATTATTGAATTACATTTTTTCTCTCCATGCAAGAAATCATACAGGGGTGCGCCAAATCATGGTTCTTTTCTAGGTCCTCATTATAGTGCGGGCTTTAATTTAAAACATGGGGTATACGAAAATGCACCAGAGCTTTGACAACTTGCCCTATAGTCTTAAGAAAATCACTACATGTCCGTATACAAACCCTGGCACTATAAAGGGACCCAAATCATTCTCCACTTCATCTCCATTACCATGTAGCGCATCCACGAAATAGCGCCTTAAACATCCAGTAGAAATCCCACAAGGAGGAGCATATCTTGAGCATATTCTGCAATGAACCCCCAAACCCTGTAGTAGTCTCCATTTCGTCTTCTATTCGAATCTCGGTCATCCCGATTCATCCCTCTTTATATTCCTACGTATGCCTGTGTAGCTGTATTTTTATCACTATATATCGCTATCTACCTATATCCCTATACGGTAGTCTTAGGAAATTTTCATGTTCATTCGAGTATAACCCTAAGGAATAATTAAATATGCTATTTTAATAGTGGTTCTAGTGGGATTGCAGTATGTGGCATGCCCTGCCCCTAAACCCTATACTCAAACCCTAAACCCTAGACCCTAGACCCCAGACCGTAGACCCTAAACCCTAAACCAATATCGCAAGCCCTGGTCTTTGGATCTCCGGCCTTGAGCTCTTGACCTGCAGCCTCGAGCAATGTGTGGGTTTCTCAAAGTTGCAGGTGCCTTTCTGAGGCCCTGTAGTCTATGATGTAGGATGGTGGGGATAGTAGAGGGTTAAGGGTTTAGGGTCAAAAATCACCAAGAATGGATTACATGGGGGATTATGTATGGGAGTTTTATAGGGGGCATAAGGGGGATATTGGGAGGTTAGGCTAAAGCTCATATAGGATTATGTAGGTATATTTGGGGAGATATAGGGATATAGAGGGTGACTTAGAATGCCTTCAAATGGACCGGTAGTATTTTTTTTTTTTCGGCAGGTGTTTCTGGGATTCCTGGAGTATATTGCTAAGTGTATACATTTGGTTTCCAACATGGGGGACAACAAATTGAAATGTATAACCCCTTCACAGGTAGCTCACATGCCCCTGTGGAACGTATTTTCTACAAACCCATGGTAAATCCATTATGAACTTCATAAGCTTTTAGCCCCTTTATGAATCTTGATTATACAACAGGACCGAGACCACAGGCCCCAGGACCACCCAGGCGGGGTACCTCTGTAAGCCTCGAACCCTCTAGATGTAGACGAATCTAGAAAATTTTCGTCAGCCTTTTATAAACCACCTGTAAATCCCGTGAACCTTCTGTAAGCCTCCTATTGGCCTTCTATAAATCCTCTGTACACAGTATAGGCCTTCTTTAAAAACTATGTAGCTACTATAATAAATCTTCTATAAACATCCTATAAACACCGTAAATCTTCTTAAGCCCTCCAGAAACTTTATGTAAGCCTGAAGACCCAGACAGGACCACAGTTGGCGTTAATGTGTGTATCATACTTTATATCATTGACCATGGTGGGGGAGAGGGGGCCCATGACTGCTGACGCATATCTACCCCAATCAGCTTGCCTGTGGCAGCCATGAAGTTTGTAAAAAGCCTTAAGCCTAAACACTAAACCATCTAAACCCTAATCCCCACCCCTACACGGTAAAATCTTCTCCGGCACTGGAGAAAAGGTTCGAAGGGGTGTTTAAAATCTACTCCGGGGCCGGGAGGTGCACTGAATTTTGAGGAATACCGATTTGAATTGGCGCACAGGCTGATTGCAACCTGCGCGGGGAGCTGGCATATGGCTGAAGCAGAGTGGGTGTGTGGTTGTCATCTTTCGCCGCAATGATTATTACGATTACTGTTATTGCTGTCATTATTGTCACTGTTCTTCTTGTGATGATTTTTGAAGGGTGTGTTTCTACTGCATCCTTTGTTCGGGATCCTCAAACCGGAGTAGTTTCTTAGGATCTTACACAGCTGCAGCCGCTCATGCAGGATCCCAGTTTTGCTGAGACCTGGGTGCGTGTCCTTGTATGCTTCAGGACCCGACTGTCTCAGGGCCAAAAAAATGGCACGCAGTGCTTGAGAGGGGATGTTGCAGAGGAAATGGATGTCATGTTCACGTGCAGTCAGGCACATGGCCTTCAAATCTACGACATTAAACCTGTTCATCTCAGTATTCGTGGCCTAGACCTGCCAAACTCCCAAAAGACCCTTGGAGTCCAATGATGTCTATTTGCAAGATCCTTCCTCGACAGCGTCGCTTGTGCGGCATACCATGCCATGGGCATGACGCCAGCACGAGCATCATGATCATGAGGATTCGTGTTGGCACTTGGAGCCCAGAAGCGGCGCTGTGTGCAGAAAAAGTGATGCAGCAGGGACTAGTTAGGCTTGGGTTTTGCCAGATTGGGATTTTCGAGAAATGTCACACAGGTCACTGGTTGAGGCTTGAAGCCTGTTTTGCATTGATAGGCTTTGTGTCAGGCTACTTACTGGAATCCAGAGCATGCGCAAAGAGAGCAAGACATGCCTGCCTGCCTTCCTTTTCAAACTCCTGCGAAAGCATCGACGCAGGTGCGGGAGTTTCTCTGCCAGAATCGTCAGTCCACGCCTGAGCCAGCTATGTGAAGGCATTGTTTAGGCGAAGTAATGTGCAGGTGTGGGCTTTCGCGTGGCAGTGTGCTTCCACCCTAAATAGTAGTTTCCATTTTATTTTCCATTATCCCAATATAGCCCCAATATAACCCTAGTATTACCCAAA